CGAAAGAGAAAAATTTTTCCTACCAGTTAAACATATTCGAAATCAAGATGCAATGGAAAATGGTTTTAGAATATCTTGTTTTTTTCAAAATCTCTCCAAAGAACTCATCTAAATCGTGAGTTATTGACCAATGAGATTTCAGTATATGTCGACAACCTAGAAGCTTCTCTCTTGAATGGTGAAAACTCCAGGACTTCATGTTGCTCCTATCAAAAGTTATTCAAAAAACAGTCAAACTCATTGCTTTTTGACAACTACATGAATAACAACTTTATGTGTTATAATTGTTTTATCAATTGTAGTCTGCACGAAGCCCAGGAGAGCAACAAGTCGTAGTCGTAAAGCCCATTATGCTAAGTTTTACAATTGTCAGATCACGGAACAGAATTAGAGAGATCGTTTTCCTATGCATATTTGCCAAGACATGATTCCCTTCATTTCTTATTCAAGTTATCATCCATCTTCGAAAATATTAAATTTTTGGGTTTTTTCCTCGAAGTTATACATAATTACATAGAAATTCAGACAACATCGAAGAATAACTTACTCGATAGGACTATCTGTTACTTGTGCAACTTCATTATCATTATGAGAGTGAGTATTTATAAGTTCTATCACGATATCATTATTATTAACTGAAGTATCATTTGATCTAAATATTTTAAAAAAATAACATTCAAATGATTAATTGAGTATTTAAATATGTTAGATAATTTACTGTAAAATTTCATCTGTTGATATGTGTGTATTATCTTCACTGTTATCTTGAATACAAAATGTTGAATGTTCATTATCTGTTGATAATGATGGAATATTCTCATTTGATGGACTTTCATCTGTGATATTTTCTTCTAAAAGAATATCATTCGATGTTGTAATTGATGATTCTTGTTGATCAATTCCATTAGTTATATTTTTTTCTTTAAAATACAAAAAAAAATATATAAATTTAAATAAAAAAAATAATTCAAAACTCTACCATCATTATCAATTATTTGTCCATTTTGTTGTTGTTGTTGTTGTTTTTCTTCTTCTTCTTGTTGTCGACGTAATTGATCTTCATAAAGAAGTAAATTTCTTTGACAAATACATTCAATATCATTCATCCATTTAAGTTTTTGTTCAAATAATTCACGTGTAGTAGGATTACTCGTTCCATTTGAATTATTTGATATATTATTTGTTGAATTACCAAAACCAATTGTCATTCGTCGAAGATTTGATAATGAAAGAAGACTACTTGTATTTGTTGTTGAACGATCAATATTATTACTATTATTATTATTATTATTATTATTCGGTTGTAAATTTGAATTTGTTGATGTTGAAATAATTTGATCAAAATCAAGTTTTAATAATGATTTATTATTTTTCATTGCTATTGCCATACCACATATACCACTTACTTGAATATTATTTTCTCTTAAATCAATATATTGTATTGTTGATGATTCAGCTATATATTCAGCTAAAGCAATAGCAGCTTGATCTGTTAAACGACAATTTCTTAATATTAATTCATTTATTGTACGATTTGTTAATAATGTATCACGTAATAAAAATAAACCTTCATTTGTTATTGGATTATGACTTAAATTTAATGAACGTATTGTACGATTATGTAATAATGATTTAGCTAGAAAACCAACACCTTGAGATGTTAATTGATTTGATTGAAAACTTATTTTATGTATTGAATTTTGATGTGTATGATGTTCATCATATTGACTTAATTGTGAAGCTATATGAGACATACCATTATCTTGTAATGAATTTAAACGAAGATCAAGTACATAAAGATATTGACCACAAGATCGAATCAGATCATTTATAAGTAAAGAATCTTGTACTTGAAGACCTAATTAAAAAAGACAAAATTATTATTGTATTATTTGTTTTTATTTAGATATGTAATCAGAAATTTTTCTATATAATAGAATAATTTTTATTTTTTATTCAATAAATCTAGACAAAGGTCGTATGTATATAATAAGTACTAAAATTATTTAATAAGATTTATTTTTAATTTTCTGTTTTCGCAGCTATAAGCCGTGAGAAAGAATTCAAATAATTATTTGAATACAGAAACTGGTTTCTAGCAAGAATATAAGGAAATGAAAATTATTATAAGATTTGCAAAGATATGAACACCAGAAAAATCAAAACCCTGGAGCGCGTAAATATTATTTTGTTTACACTATATAGAACGATAGTGTAAACCGTTCACTACAAAATGAAACATTGCCAAGTTTTCTGCGACATTTTAAGGACGAGATACAACAATTTGATAGAAGTTTAAAAAAATGTTTTTTCTATAGGATATTGACAAAAAAAAACGACTTTAGGGGCTTCCGTAAGAATGCTCTATCTCAGCTAAAAAAACGTCGCAGAGAACTCAATGACATTTCATTTTGTAGAGAATTGTTTGTTCGATGTAATCTAAACAAAATTATATTAGTCACTGTTTTAAGAAATCTGATCATAGTTTTTATTTCCTGATATTTCTTTTGGAAACAACTTTCTCTATTCGAATTACTATTTAGATTCTTTCTAGTGCTTAAATCAGCGAAAAAAAAATTCAAAATAAACCTTGTTAAATAATTTTCCTACTCACTGCACATATACAGTGCTGGTTAATAATGTAATACCAGCGTATTTATGATTTTTTTTCCACGATACACCAAGTATTTAACTCAAATCTGAATAGTGGTTTGAATAGTCAATGAAGTTTTCTTTGAAATACATTCCATACCGAATTTATCATAGAAATGCATTTTCTTTGTTTGTAATGCCTTGAACATTTTAAGGAAAGGTCGTAAGAAATATGACAATCCCTCATCGTATTCAGGTTTTGTGCTCTTTAAGCTGGTATTCTTAAAAGCTAGCCTCCACATAGTACTCTGGAACCTGAAAACTGTGGTGTTTGTTTTTTATTTCTTGCTTTGAAAATGAAATATTAATTTAATAAAAAACTCAGATATTAAAATAGAGTAATTAATTCAAATAAACTTATAAAAATTAATAGAAAAATCTATATGATTTCGCTTTTTTTTTTGCTTTGCAACTTTATACAAAATATTATTCATCAAAATTTTCTTTTCATATGTTTGTTAAGCTTGTTGCATTATTTCACATAGTTCAAACTAATTAACTGAAATAACTCTTATCTCAACAAGTTTGCTCTATTAAACATCAAACAAATCAAGTCGATAAGACGTTTCGTTCTTGAAAGAATCACTTCTAACCCGTTGTGAAAAGACTTTTTCATCAAATATTATTATTGTAAGAATCAACAAACAGAAAAAAAAAATAACACAACGCTTGATAGCGTTCAGAATATTCTATGAGCTAGCTCATCAATGCAGAAAAATTAATTAGACTTTTCATTGATAATATCTTACGTCATTTGCTTTCAAACAGATGTCATCATTCCATAGAATACATTAGAAAGAGATAACTAAAACTCAAGAGGTGTTTACCTTGTCCCGACAAGATAAAGGACTTTTTCTTGCATTTGACCTGCAGGATGACCTTTTCATTGCATTTTTAACAAGGATAAAAACTCATCTGTAAATGAGATATGACGTCAAATATTATAGACGTACTACTTATATAAAAAACATTTACAATACAATCATGTTAATAAACCTTATCGGATGTTTTTCAATAGAAATGGAATGAATAATAATAAAAGCAAAATACTTGACATTTATAGAGTGAATAAAACAAACATAAAGATATAGGATTCTAAATGTAATTAATATAAACAGATGGAAAATGAGAATGGTTAAGTTTTCTTTGTATTTCTTTTTTCTTAAATTTCTCGTATGAAGAAACAAAATAATATATAATCAATTTGACTTAGTGGTAAACATGTTTGTCTTTTATTAAATATTAATCCAGCTGACAAGGGAACGTGTCCAGGTGTCAAATCGCTTTTCGACAGAGACAATATTCATTTGGGGAGTAATAGAAAATTTCAAAATGGTTTGATTTTTTGGATCTACATTCTTGAGATATCGAAATTTTACTGAGTTTTTCAACAAAAAAAGATGTAGTCACGTGAAAAATTCACTTTTGAATGTCAACTTCAAACTTTGTTCGTCCAAATTTTGAAGTCGAAAGTTGATTTTCTACGTGTACTCAGTAAATTTTCAATATCTTACGAGTGAAGACTCGGAAAACCAAACTAGTCTAGACTTTTCTATCGGTCATTCAATGAATATCGTCTCAGTCAAAATGTAATTTGACACTTGGAGAGGTTCGATCGTGAGATTAATACTCGTTCCATCGAAGCACTAGTCACTGGACTCGTGCGGCTACTACTGATAATAATGAAAAAATTACGATGAATTTCACTATTACACTAGAACTTCATTGAATCACAAC